TTTTATAATTGTTGCAACAGCCAATAGTCTCTGTTTGAAGCTGATACTAATTGATGATTTGGTTTTGTTATAGATACAGCCATAATATGTTACACTCCTAGACAATGAAGATGGTTTCATGGTAGATTGATCACACATCTGGATACGTAGCATGTAGGTATTTGGTATTTTTAATTGTACTTTAAACTATGTTAAAATGGTTTGCAGGTAACAAAAATAAGTTTTCCCTGGAAGCTTAAATTAGATTTGATTACAAATTGATTACAAATTTCTTCAATTCAAATTTATACTCTTATGAAGATTATTTTAATGATAATGTATAGAAATTGTTTATATACTTGTCTTCAAATTAGGATTTTTCATCAAAAATGCATCATATTAATTTTGAATTAATTGCAACAACCAATATTCTCTATTTAAAGCTGATACTGATTTAGAGTTTTTGTTTTTTGTTACAGATACAGACTAGATATGTTACCCTCCTAGACAATGAAGATGCTTTCTTGGTTTACAGCACACGAAGATTTGTATCATGTAGGTATTTGGTCATTATAATTGTACTTTTAACTCTTTTTATATGTGTTGGGTAACAAAAATCAGTTTTCCCGTTGAACAACAGTTTGAAATTTTATTACAAATTTGTCGAACATTTCTTTTATTCAAATATTTACTGTAATAAGTTAAGTAATTGTAAATATTCTAGTCTCCAATTTAGGATTTGACATTAAACATGCATCACATTAATTTCTGAATTGATTGCAACATCAAATATTCCCTATTTAAAGCTGATACTAATTTACAATTTTTGTTTTTGTTACAGATAACGCCTAAATATGTTACACTCTTCGACAATGAAAATGGTTTCATTGTAGATAGCACATTAGGATTAGTCACATGTACGTATTTATTCATTACAATTTTTTTATTTAAACTAGGTTTATTAGCTCACCTGGCCCACAGGGCCAAGTGAGCTTTTCTCATCACTTGGCGTCCGTCGTCGTCCGTTAACTTTTACAAAAATCTCCTCTGAAACTACTGGGCCAAATTTAACCAAACTTGGCCACAATCATCACTAGGGTATCTAGTTTTAAAAATGTGTCCGATGACCCTGCCTGCCAACCAAGATGGCTGACATGGCTAAAAATAGAACATAGGGGTAAAATGCAGTTTTTGGCTTATATCTCTGAAACTCAAGCATTTAGAGCAAATCTGACTAGAGTAAAAATGTTCATCAGGTTAAGATCTATCTGCCCTGAAATTGTCAGATGAATCAGACAACCCGTTGTTGGGTTGCTGCCCCTGAATTAGTAATTTTAAGGAAATTTTGCAGCTTTTTGTTATCTTGAATATTATTATAGATGAAGATAAACTGTAAACAGCCATTATGTTCAGCAAAGTCAGATCTACAAAGAAGTCAACATGACCAATATGGTCAATTGACCCCATAAGGAGTTATTGCCCTTTAAAGTCAAATTTAACAATTATTCGTAAATTTTTGTATTCTTTTACAAAACTCTTCTCTCCTGAAACAACTGAGACAAATTTAACCAAACTTGGCCACAATCATCACTAGGGTATCTAGTTTAATAAATGTGTCCGATGACCCTGCCTGCCAACCAACATGTCAGACATGGCTAAAAATAGAACTTTGGGGGAAAATGCAGTTTTTGACTTGTATCTCTGAAACTAAAGCAAATGTATAACGGTTGCATTATTTCATGCATCAATTGTAAATAAAAATATCAGGTGAGCGACACAGGCTCCTTGGAGCCTCTAGTATTTGTTGGGCATTAAAATCAGTTTTCACTGAAACAACAGATTGAAGCTTTATAACAAATTGGTCTAAAATTTCTTTTATTCCTATTTATATTCTTATGAAGTATATTTTAATAAGAATGTATAGTTATTGTAAATATACGTCTCCAATTTAGGATTTGACATAAAACATGCATCACATTAATTTCTGAATTGATTGCAACAGCAAAAAGCTTTGATTTTGAAGCTGAAACTAATTTAAAATATTTGTTTTTTTTGTACAGATATTGCCTAAATATGTAAGACTCCTATACCATGAAAGATGCTTCCATTGCAGATAGCACATTAGGATGTTGCACATGTAGGTATTTATTCATAACAATCGTTCTTAAAACTATGTTTATATTTGTTAGGTAATAAAAATCAGTTTTTCCTGGAACAACAGCTTGAAATTTGATTACAAATTGGTCCTACATTACATTTATTGAAATATTCACTGTAATGAGATATATTTTAATAAGAATGTATAGTGATTGTAATAATTCTTGTCTCCAATTAAGGATTTGACATTACAACATGCATCACATTAATTTCTGAATTGATTGCAACAGCAAATAGTCTGGATTAAAAGCTGAAATTAATGTTTATTTTTTTTTGTTTTCATTACAGATACAGCCTAAATATGTAAGACTCCTATACCATGAAAGATGCTTCCATTGCAGATGCACATTAGGATAAGTCACATGTACGTATTTGGTCATTACAATTTTCCTTCAAACTATATTTATATTTGTTAGGTAATAAAAATCAGTTTTTTCCTGAAACAAAAGATTGAAGCTTTATAACAAATTGGTCTAAAATTTCTTTCATTCAAATTTATACTCTAATGCTGAATATTTTAATAAGAACGTATAGTAATTGTAATTATATACTTTTCTCTATTTTGGGATTTAACATAAAACATGCATCACATTATTTTCTGAATTGATTGCAAAAGCAAAGAGTCTGGATTTAAAGCGTAAACTAATTAATAATTTTTGTTTTTGTTACAGATTATACAGCCTTAATATGTAACACTCCTATACCATGAAAGATGCTTTCACACATTAGGATGTTGCACATGTAGGTATTTGGTCATTACAATTGTTCTTAAAACTATGTTTATGTTTGTTAGGTAATAAAAATCCGTTTTTTCCTGAACAGTTTGACAAAACGATGCTTTATGTTAAAATGGGTCTCGTAAAAGCAGACCTCTGCAGAGAGCAAACTTTAGATTTTGATATAACATTGATGAATTTAATGGGCGCTAATCTCGTAAAAGCAGATCCCCCAGCAGAGCTGATTACATAGTATGATAACTTGTGTTTATGGTAAAATGTATTTAGTTTTTTTGTCTGGCTCTATTTCATTATCAACCAATTTGAAACTTTATTACAAATTGGTCTCAAAAAAATTTCTTCAAATTTATACTCTAATGAAATATATTCTTAATGACTGAGCTGAAGGACGCCTCCGGGTGCGGGAATTTCTCGCTACATTGAAGACCTGTTGGTGACCTTCTGCTGTTGTCTGTTCTATGGTCGGGTTGTTGTCTCTTTGACACATTCCCCATTTCCATTCTCAATTTTATTAATGGAATGTATAGTAATTATAAATATTCTTGTCCAACATGCAAAGATTAAATTCTGAAAAAATTGCAACAGCAAATAGTCTGTATTTAAAGCTGATATTAATTTATAGTTTTTGTTAAAGATACATCTAAATATGTTGCACTCCTAGACAGAGAAGATGGATTCATGGCAGATAGGAAGAGTCAACATGTAAGTATTTGGTCATTACAATTGTACTTAAAACTATGTTAATATTTGGAAGTCAATAAAAATCTGTTTTCACTGAAACAATAGCTTAAAATTTTTTTACAGATTGGTCTAAAATATCTTTTATTCGAATTTCAAATGTGGTATATTTTAATAAGAATGAAAGAGTAATTGTAAATTAATTGTCCGTAATTTAAGATTTGACATAAAACATGAATCACATTAATTTTTTTATTTTTTTAACAGCCATTAAATATTCTCTATCTAAAGCTGATGCTAATTTAAATTTTTTCTTATGTAACAGATACAGCCCAGATATGTTCCACTCCTACCCAATGAATATGGTTTCATGGTAGATGCACATTAGGATGTTTAACATGTAGGTAGTCATTACAATTGTACTTTAGACTATGTTTATATGTGTTGGGTAATAAATATCAGTTTTACCTGGAACAACAGCTTAAATAAAATTTTATTTCAAATTAGTGTACATATTTCTTTTGTTCAAATTTATAATCTAGTGAAGTAAATTTTAACATGAATGCGTAGTAATTTTAAATATTCTTGTGTCCAATTTAGGATTTGACATAAAATATGAGTGACATTTATTTTATAATTGTTGCAACAGCCAATAGTCTCTGTTTGAAGCTGATACTAATTGATGATTTGGTTTTGTTATAGATACAGCCATAATATGTTACACTCCTAGACAATGAAGATGGTTTCATGGTAGATTGATCACACATCTGGATACGTAGCATGTAGGTATTTGGTATTTTTAATTGTACTTTAAACTATGTTAAAATGGTTTGCAGGTAACAAAAATAAGTTTTCCCTGGAAGCTTAAATTAGATTTGATTACAAATTGATTACAAATTTCTTCAATTCAAATTTATACTCTTATGAAGATTATTTTAATGATAATGTATAGAAATTGTTTATATACTTGTCTTCAAATTAGGATTTTTCATCAAAAATGCATCATATTAATTTTGAATTAATTGCAACAACCAATATTCTCTATTTAAAGCTGATACTGATTTAGAGTTTTTGTTTTTTGTTACAGATACAGACTAGATATGTTACCCTCCTAGACAATGAAGATGCTTTCTTGGTTTACAGCACACGAAGATTTGTATCATGTAGGTATTTGGTCATTATAATTGTACTTTTAACTCTTTTTATATGTGTTGGGTAACAAAAATCAGTTTTCCCGTTGAACAACAGTTTGAAATTTTATTACAAATTTGTCGAACATTTCTTTTATTCAAATATTTACTGTAATAAGTTAAGTAATTGTAAATATTCTAGTCTCCAATTTAGGATTTGACATTAAACATGCATCACATTAATTTCTGAATTGATTGCAACATCAAATATTCCCTATTTAAAGCTGATACTAATTTACAATTTTTGTTTTTGTTACAGATAACGCCTAAATATGTTACACTCTTCGACAATGAAAATGGTTTCATTGTAGATAGCACATTAGGATTAGTCACATGTACGTATTTATTCATTACAATTTTTTTATTTAAACTAGGTTTATTAGCTCACCTGCAAGTGAGCTTTTCTCATCACTTGGCTCCGTCGTCGTCCGTTAACTTTTACAAAAATCTCCTCTGAAACTACTGGGCCAAATTTAACCAAACTTGGCCACAATCATCACTAGGGTATCTAGTTTTAAAAATGTGTCCGATGACCCCGCCTGCCAACCAAGATGGCTGACATGGCTAAAAATAGAACATAGGGGTAAAATGCAGTTTTTGGCTTATATCTCTGAAACTCAAGCATTTAGAGCAAATCTGACTAGAGTAAAAATGTTCATCAGGTTAAGATCTATCTGCCCTGAAATTGTCAGATGAATCAGACAACCCGTTGTTGGGTTGCTGCCCCTGAATTAGTAATTTTAAGGAAATTTTGCAGCTTTTTGTTATCTTGAATATTATTATAGATGAAGATAAACTGTAAACAGCCATTATGTTCAGCAAAGTCAGATCTACAAAGAAGTCAACATGACCAATATGGTCAATTGACCCCATAAGGAGTTATTGCCCTTTAAAGTCAAATTTAACAATTATTCGTAAATTTTTGTATTCTTTTACAAAACTCTTCTCTCCTGAAACAACTGAGACAAATTTAACCAAACTTGGCCACAATCATCACTAGGGTATCTAGTTTAATAAATGTGTCCGATGACCCTGCCTGCCAACCAACATGTCAGACATGGCTAAAAATAGAACTTTGGGGGAAAATGCAGTTTTTGACTTGTATCTCTGAAACTAAAGCAAATGTATAACGGTTGCATTATTTCATGCATCAATTGTAAATAAAAATATCAGGTGAGCGACACAGGCTCCTTGGAGCCTCTAGTATTTGTTGGGCATTAAAATCAGTTTTCACTGAAACAACAGATTGAAGCTTTATAACAAATTGGTCTAAAATTTCTTTTATTCCTATTTATATTCTTATGAAGTATATTTTAAAAAGCTTTGATTTTGAAGCTGAAACTAATTTAAAATATTTGTTTTTTTTGTACAGATATTGCCTAAATATGTAAGACTCCTATACCATGAAAGATGCTTCCATTGCAGATAGCACATTAGGATGTTGCACATGTAGGTATTTATTCATAACAATCGTTCTTAAAACTATGTTTATATTTGTTAGGTAATAAAAATCAGTTTTTCCTGGAACAACAGCTTGAAATTTGATTACAAATTGGTCCTACATTACATTTATTGAAATATTCACTGTAATGAGATATATTTTAATAAGAATGTATAGTGATTGTAATAATTCTTGTCTCCAATTAAGGATTTGACATTACAACATGCATCACATTAATTTCTGAATTGATTGCAACAGCAAATAGTCTGGATTAAAAGCTGAAATTAATGTTTATTTTTTTTTGTTTTCATTACAGATACAGCCTAAATATGTAAGACTCCTATACCATGAAAGATGCTTCCATTGCAGATGCACATTAGGATAAGTCACATGTACGTATTTGGTCATTACAATTTTCCTTCAAACTATATTTATATTTGTTAGGTAATAAAAATCAGTTTTTTCCTGAAACAAAAGATTGAAGCTTTATAACAAATTGGTCTAAAATTTCTTTCATTCAAATTTATACTCTAATGCTGAATATTTTAATAAGAACGTATAGTAATTGTAATTATATACTTTTCTCTATTTTGGGATTTAACATAAAACATGCATCACATTATTTTCTGAATTGATTGCAAAAGCAAAGAGTCTGGATTTAAAGCGTAAACTAATTAATAATTTTTGTTTTTGTTACAGATTATACAGCCTTAATATGTAACACTCCTATACCATGAAAGATGCTTTCACACATTAGGATGTTGCACATGTAGGTATTTGGTCATTACAATTGTTCTTAAAACTATGTTTATGTTTGTTAGGTAATAAAAATCCGTTTTTTCCTGAACAGTTTGACAAAACGATGCTTTATGTTAAAATGGGTCTCGTAAAAGCAGACCTCTGCAGAGAGCAAACTTTAGATTTTGATATAACATTGATGAATTTAATGGGCGCTAATCTCGTAAAAGCAGATCCCCCAGCAGAGCTGATTACATAGTATGATAACTTGTGTTTATGGTAAAATGTATTTAGTTTTTTTGTCTGGCTCTATTTCATTATCAACCAATTTGAAACTTTATTACAAATTGGTCTCAAAAAAATTTCTTCAAATTTATACTCTAATGAAATATATTCTTAATGACTGAGCTGAAGGACGCCTCCGGGTGCGGGAATTTCTCGCTACATTGAAGACCTGTTGGTGACCTTCTGCTGTTGTCTGTTCTATGGTCGGGTTGTTGTCTCTTTGACACATTCCCCATTTCCATTCTCAATTTTATTAATGGAATGTATAGTAATTATAAATATTCTTGTCCAACATGCAAAGATTAAATTCTGAAAAAATTGCAACAGCAAATAGTCTGTATTTAAAGCTGATATTAATTTATAGTTTTTGTTAAAGATACATCTAAATATGTTGCACTCCTAGACAGAGAAGATGGATTCATGGCAGATAGGAAGAGTCAACATGTAAGTATTTGGTCATTACAATTGTACTTAAAACTATGTTAATATTTGGAAGTCAATAAAAATCTGTTTTCACTGAAACAATAGCTTAAAATTTTTTTACAGATTGGTCTAAAATATCTTTTATTCGAATTTCAAATGTGGTATATTTTAATAAGAATGAAAGAGTAATTGTAAATTAATTGTCCGTAATTTAAGATTTGACATAAAACATGAATCACATTAATTTTTTTATTTTTTTAACAGCCATTAAATATTCTCTATCTAAAGCTGATGCTAATTTAAATTTTTTCTTATGTAACAGATACAGCCCAGATATGTTCCACTCCTACCCAATGAATATGGTTTCATGGTAGATGCACATTAGGATGTTTAACATGTAGGTAGTCATTACAATTGTACTTTAGACTATGTTTATATGTGTTGGGTAATAAATATCAGTTTTACCTGGAACAACAGCTTAAATAAAATTTTATTTCAAATTAGTGTACATATTTCTTTTGTTCAAATTTATAATCTAGTGAAGTAAATTTTAACATGAATGCGTAGTAATTTTAAATATTCTTGTGTCCAATTTAGGATTTGACATAAAATATGAGTGACATTTATTTTATAATTGTTGCAACAGCCAATAGTCTCTGTTTGAAGCAAATACTAATTGATGATTTGGTTTTGTTATAGATACAGCCATAATATGTTACACTCCTAGACAATGAAGATGGTTTCATGGTAGATTGATCACACATCTGGATACGTAGCATGTAGGTATTTGGTATTTTTAATTGTACTTTAAACTATGTTAAAATGGTTTGCAGGTAACAAAAATAAGTTTTCCCTGGAAGCTTAAATTAGATTTGATTACAAATTGATTACAAATTTCTTCAATTCAAATTTATACTCTTATGAAGATTATTTTAATGATAATGTATAGAAATTGTTTATATACTTGTCTTCAAATTAGGATTTTTCATCAAAAATGCATCATATTAATTTTGAATTAATTGCAACAACCAATATTCTCTATTTAAAGCTGATACTGATTTAGAGTTTTTGTTTTTTGTTACAGATACAGACTAGATATGTTACCCTCCTAGACAATGAAGATGCTTTCTTGGTTTACAGCACACGAAGATTTGTATCATGTAGGTATTTGGTCATTATAATTGTACTTTTAACTCTTTTTATATGTGTTGGGTAACAAAAATCAGTTTTCCCGTTGAACAACAGTTTGAAATTTTATTACAAATTTGTCGAACATTTCTTTTATTCAAATATTTACTGTAATAAGTTAAGTAATTGTAAATATTCTAGTCTCCAATTTAGGATTTGACATTAAACATGCATCACATTAATTTCTGAATTGATTGCAACATCAAATATTCCCTATTTAAAGCTGATACTAATTTACAATTTTTGTTTTTGTTACAGATAACGCCTAAATATGTTACACTCTTCGACAATGAAAATGGTTTCATTGTAGATAGCACATTAGGATTAGTCACATGTACGTATTTATTCATTACAATTTTTTTATTTAAACTAGGTTTATTAGCTCACCTGCAAGTGAGCTTTTCTCATCACTTGGCGTCCGTCGTCGTCCGTTAACTTTTACAAAAATCTCCTCTGAAACTACTGGGCCAAATTTAACCAAACTTGGCCACAATCATCACTAGGGTATCTAGTTTTAAAAATGTGTCCGATGACCCTGCCTGCCAACCAAGATGGCTGACATGGCTAAAAATAGAACATAGGGGTAAAATGCAGTTTTTGGCTTATATCTCTGAAACTCAAGCATTTAGAGCAAATCTGACTAGAGTAAAAATGTTCATCAGGTTAAGATCTATCTGCCCTGAAATTGTCAGATGAATCAGACAACCCGTTGTTGGGTTGCTGCCCCTGAATTAGTAATTTTAAGGAAATTTTGCAGCTTTTTGTTATCTTGAATATTATTATAGATGAAGATAAACTGTAAACAGCCATTATGTTCAGCAAAGTCAGATCTACAAAGAAGTCAACATGACCAATATGGTCAATTGACCCCATAAGGAGTTATTGCCCTTTAAAGTCAAATTTAACAATTATTCGTAAATTTTTGTATTCTTTTACAAAAATCTTCTCTCCTGAAACAACTGAGACAAATTTAACCAAACTTGGCCACAATCATCACTAGGGTATCTAGTTTAATAAATGTGTCCGATGACCCTGCCTGCCAACCAACATGTCAGACATGGCTAAAAATAGAACTTTGGGGGAAAATGCAGTTTTTGACTTGTATCTCTGAAACTAAAGCAAATGTATAACGGTTGCATTATTTCATGCATCAATTGTAAATAAAAATATCAGGTGAGCGACACAGGCTCCTTGGAGCCTCTAGTATTTGTTGGGCATTAAAATCAGTTTTCACTGAAACAACAGATTGAAGCTTTATAA